AGCAGCAGCCGGGGCAAGTGCTGGGTGTGGGACCTCCAGACCGAGGTGGGGGTCAGTGGCTCACCTGGAGGGGCTGGAGCAAGGCGCCGGGGTGGGGGGCATCCATGAAGGGGCTGGGGGGATGCCGCTCTTCGTGCAGCACGTGGGCTTTGCAGCCTGAGGGTGCAAGTTCAAATCCCTCCTCTGGTAAGGGGCCGGTGCCCTTCGCATAAGCGCGCTCACAGAACGGGGCTGGCACGCAGTGAGGGCTCTGTGAATGTTCAGAAAAGTAAAATGTCATAAACGCAGTCACCCGGCACATACTAAGTGCTGATGATGGCACCGGGTGACATTTACCCATCCTGGGACAGCTCCTGCAGCACCTACTAGGACGTTCCTGTAGCCATAGTCTTCCCCACTTGACCTGCCAGGAAAACCCAGTCTGTTGAGCGGTCCAGGCAGGGCGTGGGTGGAGGAGTGGGGTCCCCAGTCCCGAGCAGACAGCCCTCCACGCAAGTCACAAAGCCAGTCGCTCACCCCCCCGGCCAGTGGGTCCCTGCGCACAGGCAGAAAAGCTGTTTGTCAGATTTGTATTTAAATCCCCATTATAGTAGCTTCTACCTTCTCAGGGTGTCAACGTCCTTGCAAAGCAGCTCCCTCCCTGCGTCCTCCTCGACCCCCTGCGGTCACCTGGGTCCTTCCAAAAAGTGTCCCACACCCACTCAAGTCTGTTACATCTGTATCCCCTCCCCTTTTAAGACAGGTTTCTGCTCTTGGCTTTTTTCTAGTGGAAATCTTTGCTCACGGCTGACTCCGTCCCTTTTCACTGCCGTGTAGTACTCGAGCCCCGAGTCACCGTCCCCACAGAGCCGGGCCTTCAGGGGCTGCCTGGCCTTTGCTCGTGTCACGCACGTCCCCGTAAGGAAAGCCCTTTGGTCTGTCTCGCCTCGAACCAAGAGTGAGCTTATCTGCAGATAACATCCCTGGGGAGCACGCTTGGTGGCTCAGGAAGCGCCCCAAATTCCCCCCCCCCCCCCCCCCCCCCCCCCCCCCCCGCCACCTTCGAGGCCACGGTGTTTTCCTTACCGTCTGCGCCAGCGCTGTGTTAGCGGTGTTTGGAGCCTGGCCGGCCCGTGGGACGCAGAGCCGTGTGTGTGCCTGCTCTCGTCCGCCTTTGCCTTATCATGAGTCTTAAGCGTGTCTACGCACACGCACACACGCCTTAAGTCCGTGGGCAGGACGTGCTCGTGGATCGTTTTCCTCTGGGCCTGATATGCTGTCAGTGTTCCCGTGCCTGGGTGAGGGTCTGTCTCCAGATGCGAGGACAAGTGGGGTGGCACACAGAGACCCCCTGGGGCTGGTTCCGCCTCCAGCGTGGCCCAGCGGGGAGGAGATGGGGCTGAGGGCCGAACTGGGGAGCCAGGCCGGCGTCACAGCCGTGGCCACGCCGCTTGGGAGCTCGGAGTGCCACGGGGGCATCGTCAGAATCACAGTTTGAAGGACCCTCTTGCCGAAGGAGTTGATTTGATGTGCCCGGGCCCCACGCAAACCCCTGCCCGCAGCCCGGAGTGCCCTGCCCGCCGCGGCCCAGTTGCGCTAACGGCCACGGGGAGGGAGTCACGAGCTAGCGTTGACTAAAGGCTGGTACTGTCCGTGTACTTACTCACCCGGTCCTACGTCGAACCTGGAAGGTGGTGACCCTGTCATTCCGTTACCAGCTGGGGAAACTGAGGCACAGGGGAGCAGTGGAGCCAGGATTCGAGCCTGGGCAGGTGGCTGTGAACCCCTCCACTCAGCTGCCTTGGGGCACATTCCTGCATGCAGCAGGCACTCAGTAAGTGCTCTCTGGACTAGAGCCCAGCTCCCGCGGACCCAGCT